TAGAGGAAAGTTGTATTTCCCATCGTTGTTACATCGCACCCTGACTGGCTCATCTTCTCCCCGAGACCCCTCTGCAAGGGGATCTCCAGTGGCCTACTCATGGGCTTTGGGTCTCCACTCTGCACTTGCCCCCTCATTCACTATGGTAAGAGGAAGGTGAAGATGAAGAGGAGGAGGAAAGCGGTGAAGATGAAAAACGGAAGAGAGAAACAGTGATGGAGAAGATGATTAAGACCCCAATTAACCTGCAGAAAAAGAACGGTTCCGTATTGGCTGGACTGCTCATAAGGATTTGGTAGCTGTTTAAGTTTTTTAAGGAGTAGCTGTGATTCAGAACCCCAGGACACCTGCCCACCCAAAGAGCCAAAGAATAGTTCCTGAGACATTCCACCTTCCTCTCTGTAGTCCCTCTTGGAAATCCACCACCAAGCCTGGGGACTTCGCCCTACCACAATTGTCAACGTTGTTAGGTGTCTATGTGAGACTCTGCTGTAGCCCAGGTAGCTGTGACCAGGGAGTCTAGCCATTCATGGCTGCCAGTGACACTGAGATTGTAACCACATTTTTACTTTCTGTATAACAAAGAAGCTTTGTAAATAAAACCTTAACATTTTGGGTACAAAAAAACCAAAAAAATACCGTGGGTTTATAAATGATGCTCCTGATACATAGAAATCCTGTGTTCAAAGCTCCATGTGTTCTTAGAGGAATAGTTCTTCTTTGGTGTCCATTTCCCAGGTTTTTTTGTGTCTTTCTTATCCATGATGCCTTTCTGTTTCTAGTCACGCTTTTTAGGGAAAGAGAGTCCTGCCCAAATCCTATGTAGGTAACTTGAGGTCCTGGTGCACGAGACATACGTTACAGCTGCTCAGCATCTCTTTCATCACATTCGAGACTGTGCTCGTAGAAGGTGCTGTCTAACTTGCGGATTGAGTGTATCCCTTTGGAATGCTTGGCAGTGGCTGCATAGATGCTCTTGTGTCATTCATCGGACATGGCCTTGTTCATCCAGCTGTTACATCTCTATTAATAAATCTTAACTGACTTCTTCAACAGCTTCCATCTCTGAAGTAGTTGCCAAATATTATATCAAATTTTAACCTGCCCATCTCCTAGCCATCTTGCTGAAAATATGGTTCTGTGCCTCCCTAATTAATTCTGAGATATATTATGTTCCAAATATTCACTGGTCTGTTAGTGATATAAACTGTATTGTGAGACTAATGATTCCTTTGTGTAAATTAATGCTATTCAAGATTACTTAATAGGAAAGAGTGAGCAACTGGTCATCTCTAAAAGAGAAACAAGAAAGAAGATTGTTTCAATATTACCCTCTTTGCTAATATAGACCTTGGAAATCTCTAGCTCTTTGTCATATGATATTCAGATGAGTCATCTATTTGTGCAGTTAGGTCTTTGAGTCAAAATGCAACACTTGTATCTGCTTCAGTTAAGCTGGTAACTACCTCTAAGTCTATTGTTTCACCATGTCTAACACTAGATTCTATTCTCCATACCATCAATCTCATTTCTTGAAGACTGCACCAAAAAATGAGTTGCATCAGATAAGTCTGCTGCACAAGATCTGCTGCACAAGATCTCTTAAGAGTGTCGAAAAGCAAGGAAGTTACTTTGAGCACTACGGTCAGCCACAAAGGTGGGCTTGACCTAAGCCACAGTATTTTCAGTTTCCTCATATGCATGTAAAAGTTGGACATTGAATAAGGAAGACGGAGGAAGAACCGGTGCATCTGAGTTGTGGTGCCAGTGAAGACTACTGAAGATATCATGGATTGCTGAAAGAACAACCCAATCTATCTTGGAAGAAGTATGACTGGAGTAGAGTGCTCCTTGGAAGCAAGGATGGCAAGGCTTTGTCTTACATACTTTGGGCATGGTGTCAGGAGAAATCAGTCCCCGAAGAAGGACATCACGCTGGATGAAGTGGAGGGGTAGCAGAAAAGAAGAAGGTCTTCCTGAGAAGTATTGGCACAGTGGCTGCAACAGTGGGCTCCGGCACCGGGGACAATCGGAGGATGGCGCAGGAGCAGGCAGAGCTTAGGGCTGTTGTGCATCGGGTGACACTGCGTTGGAGCTGTCTCAATGGGACCTAGTAACATGAACTAGAGTTTCAAAGAGACTCCAAATCATTGATAACAAAGTTGAGTAGAATACATTTCTTGTGAGAGCCAAAGGGAAACGCCACTACCAACAGCACCACAAACAATAGGAGCTAACAGGCACTGGGGACTTTCTGTGAGCCCAGGCACTGACCTTAGCAGTTGACATCTTTATGTCTTTTTCCATCTTTACAACAAACCTCTGCATTTGCTTCTATGATTAGCAACTGTTCCCAGTATTTTGCAGATGAAGAAACTATGACACAGAGAGATTTAAATAACATCAATAACATCGTCATTCAGCTAGTAAGTGAGAATTCTCCTGGCACAGTAATGGATTTAAGTACAGCCGGGGACTTCTGTTTCCTTCAGCAGATTTTCTACCATTTTTTGTTTTGTTTGTTTATTTGTTTGTTTTTGTAGTATTAAATTTTTAAAAAATTGTCGCTGAGGGAGGTGGGGGTCCAGCCCCCACCGCTAGTACTACTATTACTCAACGGGTTCAGTAATACTACTTCTGGGTTCAGTAATGCACAATTGTATGGTTGAGATATATAAGCATTATATTAAAGTCATTGAGAGCATGAGAGATATTACAATAATACAGTCAGACATGTTACAATAATACAGTCAGGCATGTTACATAGTACCATCGCTCACCTCAGCCCAGCTTGGTGGTCCACGTGGAGAGAGGGGGAAGGGAAGGAGGGTAAGGGAGACAGGGGAGAGGGGAGTAACCAGGGAGTGAGGAGCAAGAAGCTCAGAGTCAGAGAGAGAAGTCTTGCTGACTCACACCTATATACCTTTTGGGGGCAATCCAGCCCACAAATTACAGGTAAAGACATACGTCACAGGAAGGGGCTGCACTATAGGTTACATAGCAATGAGAGGGTGGTCTAGGGGGTGGTCTCTGGGTCTCCATAGGAACATTATCAGTAGGGTGCAAACCCCTCCTACAGGAGCCTGTCCATTGTCCCCAGAGGCAGGGAGCAGGCCCACCCCTGTGGAGGGATGAGACAGCAGTCTGGCAACTGATTTCCTCAGGGGAGGGAATGCCTGCGCATCTGACCTCCCCCCACATGTTTTGTTTTTCCTGGATAGAACAGATGGAAGGAAGGATGAAAAGAAAATTACTTCTTCTTTCATCTAATGTTATTATAATAACATTGTAGTATATAGTACCACTTCCTTAAAGGAGATTTGCTAGCACAATGGCTAATCTTTTAGGTCCTAATCCAAGGGTTGGCAGTTTGAACCAACCCAGTACTACTTGGGAGCAAGACCTAGCGGGATGCTCATGTAAAGATTACAGTCTAGAAAGCTCAATGAGGCACTTCTACTCCATCACATGGTGTCTCTCAGAGTCTAAATAGATTCAATGGTACTTAACAACAATAACAGCATTTATAAAACCCAAGATTTATTACTTTTGTTCCAAAAATGGCTACAAAGCTCCTTTTTCTTCTCTTAGTGGTTCCTTATAATTCAGTGTATTCTGGGTTTTAGTGTTCCTGACATTTTTTGTGTAGCTTCCTCCCCTCCTACATCTCTCTCTGTGTCTGTCAAACGCAGTCTTAGGGAAGTGCTTTGAGCATCTATTTTGGCCTCGGAGATTCTTTGCACCCTTTTCTTCCTCTCGTCAAGCAACGATCAATGATTGTCAGATACAGTTTTCATTTGATCAATGACTATCAGATACAGTTTTCATTGATCAATGATCAGTGATTGTCAGATTTCATTTGATCAATGACCATCAGATACAGTTTTCATTTTAAAAACTGTACATTTCCTTAGAGCAACCATTCATGAAGACCTTGGATCCTTCATGATCTCTTTGAAATTCTCTTTGCTGAAATCTAGGACACAGAGATGTGACTCTTACCTATTCTTTTTCTATTATAAATGGGGATTTATCTTACCTATTCTTTTTCTATTATAAATGGGGATTTATCTTACCTATTCTTTTACTATTATAAATGGGGATTTATCTTATCGCCAAGTTCTTTTAATTGTTGAATCTGTAGCCCATTAAGACCAAAATGAAAAATTCCTCTTTCCTTATACATTCATAGAGATGGGCAAGATGACTTACACAATATTTTAGTATAAGAAAACTCATATGAATGTCATTCTGTTTATTGATGGTACCTTTGGTCTTCTCTTGTGACTGTTTTTTATATCTCTTTTCACCATACAGTTAAGATGCTGTGGTTTAATAAATGGAGCTTCTGACTGGGGAACTAATTTCCAAAAATATGCCAAGTACTGTGCATGTACAGATGTGATGAATTCGTCTTGTGAAATTTATTCAGGAGTATCTGTTTATAAAGAGGTGAGATTTGAATCAAATGGAGCAGGTAATTCTGTTACCTTCTTTTCACAATGGAAGTCTCTAAAAAAACAAAACAAAAACAAATCCAGCAAGAATAATGGGAATCATTGGCATCAAAATCACTGAAATTTCCCAACAATAAAGAGATTTTATATATGTGTACACTCATGATTGTGTGTATACCTATATCTAGCTAATCTGTCTATGTTTATCTATGAGTCTGACAACATTTATAACCAATTTTTTTTCTTTGTTTTTTTTTTTTAGTGATGTGATGTGAGTGAGTGAGTCAGTGATGAGAGTGAGTCAGTGATGTGATATGAGTGAGAGAGTGAGTGATGTGAGTGATGAGTGAGTGAAGTGATGTATGTGAGTGAGGTGAGTGGTGAGTGAGTGATGTGAGTGAGTGGAGTGAGTGTGTAAGTGAGTGATGTGAGTGAGTGAGAGTGATGAGTGAGGTGAGTGGTGATTGAGGTGAGTGGTGAGTGAGAGTGGTGAGTGAGTGAGTGATGTGAGTGAGGTGAGTGAGTGAGTGATGTGAGTGAGTGAGTGATGTGAGTGAGTGAGTGATGT